AAAAAATTACTTATATATAGTTAAAAAATTTATAAATAAAAAAGTCGCATATCATAATTAAAATATTGTTATTCTTAAACTATTTTCTAGATCTTTAAATAAATCGTAATTCTTTTCAAAGTAGAAAACTACATTTCAAATATAAACTAGTTATTGACATGATTAGTTCCATAAATAGACCCACGAATTGCATTGGTTAATAGATAGTGAATATGATGATTCGTCATGATAATGCCAACTTCTTACAAGAGATTCCAAGTGTCCAAGGACGTAGGGGTCATATTTATGTGAACAAAGAAGTTGTTCTAAGTCATCCATATTTCTGATTGCTTCATGTTTTATTTCAGTCACATAAGGATTATATACATTTCATAAAATTGGTATGAGAAAAAGTAAATATTTTTGACGAAAATCATAAACATAAGAATCTATAATTCATTTAAAGACTTTTTTGTTATTATAAAATATATTTTGTAAGTTTTGATGATTTTGTATGTTTAAAGCAAGAATTTAGTATTTCATTATATTGTCTTAAAAGTGAATCATAATACACTCTTGAAAGAAATAAATTATGTTTTTTATGGATAACTTATTTGAATAAATTTTAAAATATAAATTACTTGAAACATTTTTTTATTTGATGTTTGTAGATAAAATTTTAGAAGATAAGAAATTAAACAAATAGTTTATTACTCGAAAATTTTCCTTCAGTAGACCTATATTGAAATTAAATTCTTTAATTAGACTTGGTCAATATTTATTTTCGCAACTAGACCTTTTTTTCTTACTATGGTAAAAATTTGTTTTGCAAGACAATCGAAATTGAAAGTGAATTTATGTTTGTTATGATAAATTGCCTGTTAGAAATCGGCTAATCGATGGGGAGCCAAATTCTAAGCCGGTTTTTAAGCCTTTTTATTTTAATATAAAGGAGGTAGGGGGAAAGAAAGGAGTGAATGAGAAAGGGCAAGAGGGAGGAGAAAATGAGAGGGAAGTATGGTGAGGGGAGGGTGGAAAGAGAGGGTAGGTGAGAGAAAGTGAAAAAGAGAGGAAAGAGAGAGGGGGGAAGAGAGGGGGACAAGAGAGAGGGGGGAGGGGGGGGGGGAAAAAGAGAGAAAAAGAGGAAAAGGAAAGCCAGAGAGAAAAAAGGCAGGATGGGGGAAGCAGAAAGGGAGGAAAACGGGGAAAGAGAAGAGGGAGAGAGGGGGAAATAAAACGGGGGAGGCAGAATAGAAACACACACACAGGGAAAAAAGGGGGGGAGAGAACGGGGAAAAGAGAGAGGCAAGGGAGGCAGGACAAAGGAGGCGGAACCAGAGAAAGAGACAGGGGGCGCAACGGAAGGGAAGCAAGAGCCGAAAGCAAGGGAAAGGAAGGAGGGGGGGGGGAGCCAAAACAACAAGGGGCGCGGGAGGGGAGGAGGGGGGGGGGCAGGGGGCAACGTAGAAGGGGAAGAAGCGAGCGAGGCAAGAAAGAGGAGCGGAAGAAGGACAAAACAAGGGAAAGGCAGAGGGAAAGGACAGGACACGGCCACAGGGGCCAGGGCGGAAGAAGGGCTCCAGCGGCGAGGGCGGGAAGAAGGAAAAAAAAAAACAGGCCGCCAACAAGTGAAGAGGAACAACAGCCACCAGAAAGAGAAAAGGATAGAGCAGCGGAGGAGACAGAGAAACGGGGGCGGGGGGGACCGGGGGCAGGGGGGTCCTTAAAAAAATTCGAAAAATAAAATAAATTAAAAAAAACCCAATTCCCAAAATTCGACCTCCGATAACAAATTCCCAACTAAAATTTTTTGGCACCTTGATGTTGTTGAAATGGTGCGTTCTGGATAATTAAATAATGGATCATGCCACCACAATTCGCTATCTCTATAGTAATAAGTGGAAAAAGGCCGAAGGTAAAATAAAAGGAAAAGGAAAAACAAAAAGGAAGAGTGAAAAACAAATCACAAAGGGGACATGGGGAAAGGGGGAGAGGGGCAAGGGAAAAAATGGAGAAGGAGGGGGCTAGGGAGAGGGGCAGGGGCGATCCGGGGAGGGGGGGGAAAAAGAGAAAAGGGGGAAGGGGGGGGACCGAGGGGGGAGTGAAAGGGGGGAGCAGGGGGGAGGGGAAAAAGGAAGAGAGGGGACGAGGAGGGTGAAAGGGGAGCGGTAAGAGGGGCGAGAAGTGAAAAAAGGACGGGGGACAACGAACGCGAACAGGCCAGAAAGGGGGGGGAGCCGGGGCGAGGGCTATGTCTACAACTTTTTGTTTTTCAAAATAATAACCTATATTTAAAAAAAAAAACTCTTAAAAACCCGTCGTTTTTTCGTCGTGTAGTTTTACGTTTTAATTTTTTAACGTTTTTGTTGTTGTATTCTTTTTCGTTTTAAATTTGGCCCCCCGTCAATTATCATAACAAAACTATAAAATGCACTTTGTAATTTCGATTGTCTCAAAACGAAAAAAAATTCTCAAGGTAAAAAAAAGGTTCTTCTTCTATTTGCAGAGAGATAACATTGGCCAACTCTACTAAGAAAGAAAAATTTAATTTCAATATAGGTTACAATAGGAAAAAAACAACTCGTTTACTCTTATAAAATATTTAATTTTTAATCAACGGGCATCATTGTATAGATAAAAAGATAAAAGGGAATTCTACTTCTTACCTGCAAAAATTAATGTGATAATAATAGAGAATTGAGGTTCTATTAATAATTATAAGTTAGGATTAAGGAGGGGGGGAAGGGGTGTAGTGTATTCCTTTTTGAAAGTTATGGTTATCTGGGTTATGTGAAGGGATATCTTTGGTTTGGCTTTAATTTTTAGTGCAATGAAACTTGAATATTAGTCCTTTTGCAAAACTTTGGCCTCTTAATTTAGTCTCCAAACCAACTTTTAGACTGTACATGATTAGTTCTTTTTTTTCGCTCTCCCTCACTTTTTGGTTTTTATAGCTGTTTTTTTGTTTTTTTCCGTTTTTTAATTTTTTTTTTTTTTGTTTTCCGTGTCTTCCTGCTCGTCTTTTATTGCGTTTTGTGTCTTTGAGTTTCGTCTTTTCTTCTTTGGGTTTCGCCCGTTTTTTTTGCCTCTTGTTGCTTCTTTCATTTTAACTGTTACTTGCGCCCTGTGTTTGCACTTCACCCTAAACGTTCCCACCATTTCGTTCATACCCGACCTAAATTCTACCTTTCTCCCGTTTGCGGCCTACTAAATTGGTCACAGTTTTTACCGACCCACTAAGGGGAAGTGGGAAGTGAAGGAAAGTTAGAGGGTGTATGGGAAGTAAGGGCCAAAAACATATGCGGGAAGGCCCTGGTGAGAGGGATAAGAGTAACCGGAGGGGGAGAGAGATAGGCCGAAGGAGAAGAAGACTGAGGGAGAAAATGGAAGAAGAAGAAGAGAAAGAGAAAGCCGAAAGAACAGAGCAAAGGAGAAAAGGGAAGGAGAAAGAGAGAAGAAGAACGAAAGGAAAGATGAGAGTTATTTAGTAAACTGGTGCATAAGAATAATGAAGAATAAGATAATTTAGAGAAAGAGCCGTAAACATCTTGGGAAATGAGTCGGATGTAAACAGGGCACTGAACGAGGGGGGGGGAGGAGGAGAGCGAACAAACCCGGAGAGGGACGGCAACTACGCTTAAAACTTAAAAAAACGCGTAAATTACAGCAACACCCAATTATAAAGAAAATGTAACCCTATGACATCGCGAATGATACCCTTGGTCACTCTTTCATGCTTCTTTATTATTAACACACTCTTCGACCCTTCCAGTCTAACCTTAATGTGGGAAAGGCGGGAGCGGAGATCACCAAGACAGCGACCACGCAAGGGGAGAGAAAGGGTAGATGTCTAGAAATAACGTCGTATGTGTCGAATCCTCTTTCTTCTAGCAAATTCTATTGCTTACTTTCAAAAAAATTCTTAGAGTTTTATATGACATTAAAAAATTTAGATTTGATTTATACCATATATAGTAACAAGATATGTTATATAATAGATATATATATATATAGATATTATATATATATATTTATATTTTATATATATTAATGGTTGTTTTTTCATTTTTATTAAATTTGTTTTGATAAATGTGAGGAAGAATTATCATTTTTATTATATAGTTATATCTCTTCACCATTAATTTACTGTGATTAATTAAAAAACAGTTTAATTATTAGGTTGGAGGGTCATTTGGGTCCATAATCAGTATATAAAACTTATTTTTAGTTGAGGACCATGAAAATAGTTTTCATTGTAAACAATAAAAACAAACTT